CAACTCTTCCTTTTTATAGCTGTTAGTAGTAAAACTTTTCCAACCGTTGGGACACTGGTATAATATGTTAGAATAGTTTAACTGGAAAAAGTGGCAGAACTTGGCCACTGAAGGAGTGGGGGAAGAGGTATGATTGGGATTGCCTTAAGGAGATGAGGATTCCGGCCCAAGTATAAGAAGGTAGGAGCTCCAAAGTGAGTGAGCCTATTTCTATGTGCAGTAAGGGCTGTCATGTTATAGAACTCACAGTTCTGCACCAACAGTCTTTCAAATGATCCCTAGTCAATTTGGCCTAAAAAATACCTTAGGCGCGTGAATCCTGATGCTGAAACTGCCCTCAGCTTCATCTTCGAGCCCATTGACGACGTCGTTTGCGATCTGCCCAGCTGTCGGAGCCGATCCATTGGAAACGCTGTAAGAAGGGCTACAGTAAGGCAGACCAAGAAAGGCATTAGACCCTTGATAGGCATGTTTCCATTAGGAGTCCAATGCTAAGGGTTAAATGGAGGTGGTCACTTGGCGCATCACTGGTGCGTCATGACAATTTATAGGCCAATCAACTCGTCCGGTTACCGAACAACAGAAGTTTGGTGATTCGGACGAGTTGTCACCTGGAGGGCGCTCGCAGACATGTTGTGACACGCCAGTGGTAGAGTCTGGGGAAACGGGCAAGAGAATCGTAAATTGCCGCTCCGTCGCGCGCGGCAATGGGCGCGACGTTTTCTCATTTGCACTACCCTTTCGATTGGAGCATCGGATTTCATGTAGACAAGGACATGGTAGACACTTATGTCTATTTTTGGTCATACATTGTCTATTCTCGACCAATACCACCTGAAACCTCGTCATTAGCGGGCGCGACGTCGCACGCGACGCCCACTTGCGCGGCGAATTACGGTTCTCTTGCCACATTCTTCACTCTTCTCAGGACCTAAAGAAAGAAGTGCACGTACCTTGAAGCTCTTATTTCGTGTCATCAGGTGTTTTTGGGCTTGAAAGAAATTCCTAACGGTGAGACCTTCACAAAAGCACACAACCACCTGTGGACGTGATTTTTGGCTGTCCAGCGACTTCAGGACCTTAACAGCGTACTTTTGAGGCGAAAAAGATGTACGAGAAACCACGAAAACGTTACCGTAATCCCTATGAATGCGTTAATGACTTACATTTCTGTACTCGGCCTCCCCAGCTAGACTCTTGATCTTTTGGCGAATAGGCCACACAAACTACCGAGTTCTTCTGATTGAGCAGTCGTTCGAGGGCCTCGAAACCTTTCTCACCGTAATTGCCTGAAATGACATTTATGGAACACCGGCGAAATTTTTAAACAGGAGAAGGGTAATCCTAGAACTGATGAAGATCAGTAAAAAAATATTCTCAGCTATAGCTTCTGACGGCGGTCACCCATAAATGAGATAGAGTTCAAGGGCGAAAGCAGACGGGTGGGGGAGGGGGTGGAAGGGCAAGGCACATCTTGTTCTATGGAAAATTTTTGTAAAATGCGACCCTTACCCTCACAGATTCCTCCTCGTGTGGTATACGCCGCAACCTCTTTCTACCCCTCATCTTACCTTCCTACAATCTTTCTAGAACTTTCCTGAGTTCCCATTTTCCTACCAGTTTCTAGAATCTTTCCCACAAATCTGTCCACCTTTCTCCTGAAAGCAAGTGCGTTCGGGCTTCCAGAAATGCCTTCGAGCGGAGGGACCGGCGGATGATATACCGCACTTGAAAAACCGTGAGTGAAAAATTAGGACAGTCAAAGATTGAAAGCACTTCTTCCTAATCGCAAAATACGAGCACCCCCTCCGCTATCCTGAAACGGGCAAAACATATACGACTTCTTTATGGGTTTTATAAGGATGCTCCAGCGTCAAGCGTTCCGCGGGAGTGAGGGGGGCACTATGTGTTTATAAAACTATCATGTTTTCGTCTGTTACCTTTCGAGTGGGTGTATAATTGCCCCTTTCGTGTTTGGTAAGAGTGCAGACAAGCAGGCTGTTGTGCGGCACTCCCAGCCACCTTTGCTCCAAGTTCACATAAAAAATACCTAGAGACCGTGGCTCGATGGAAGTTCGCCTTGCTGGGAGCAGTGGTTGAGGGTGGAGTTAACAGCAGTTGTTGGGCATGGTAGGAAAGGGTTCAAAGAAAAGTTCTCGAGAGTAAAAGGAACATAAAACTTTCATCGTCCGCTGTTTTTTGCTAGATTGTTCCGCGATTGATGGTAAGATTTGGGATCGAAATTTTCTGAAGGATGGGAGAATAAATAGGGATGTGGGGAAAGTGAGATGGAAGGGGTTACACCAGAAGACGCAGTTCCGCGATATCGCGCGCCTTTGCCCACGGCAGCAATCGATTTCACTGAGCGTGGAAACCTGTGGAGACGCAAACATGGCGAGATAGCATGCGTCTGTATGGGGACGGAGGAGAGTGGAAGGAGTAACACTTGGATCGATTGTCGCGGACGCCGCAAAGGTGCGCGACGTCGCGTGATGAATCTTCTTACCACACACATAGGGCCGACGGAGGCTTAGGGGTGGGGTCGCTGTCGCTGGTGAGGTAAGGATTGTTGTCAAGCTTCGTCTTCCTTCAAGACTCCAGCCACCCCTTGTGGATAAGCGGCAATGCAACAGCTTGCTGGCTTTCACCAGCAGAAATCCCTCCCCCCGCTCGCTCTGCTTTGGATTGAATGTTCAAATAAATTCATAGTTTGCAACTCGGCTAGCGTTCTTGCCAGCGGGCAAAGGCATGTCCACCAGGCTGAAGCCTTCCATCGTCAATTCATCAACGACGGTTTTTCCATCGTGAACGTCATCAGCACATCCCTTCCACCAAAAAGTTGCTGCTCGTGGTCATTATCGACTCGCCTCCAAACAAACAAATTTTGCAGAAAGATCGGACGTTGGACTTTCATATAGCTCGAGAAGGAAACCCGATTTCCTACTTCTTGTCGGCGAACATCGATTAATTCCTTTTTGGGATGCCCCATGCACTTTACTTCCATTCATGATCGTAGTGGCTTACTGAACGCCATGGCTCATGCAAGAGTTACGGGGGTTAGCCGACGTACAATCAGTACTCTTATCTTCTCAGACGAGTCTGGTACCAACTTACTGGCTTCGGAGCAATTAAGGTTGGTCTGGCAGGAGATCGTTACTTAATTAGACCCAATGGCAACGCGTACGCTAGCGCCGTTACTTAGCACTACACCACAGCCAAATGAAACAATAGATTGCTGCACTGTGCGGCTTGGAGGATATTTTGCACTTTCGCTGCTTCCTTTTAATAGTTCATGTGCAGTAACAGTAACCTGTGAACTCCCGTGTAGCTAGAAATGGTGCGAGTGGGCCATTTTAGTCAGAGAAATTCACAGGCCTTCATGAGGTGGCCTGTCTAAGCTTTGTCGTGCACCATTCGGTGCCCTCACCAAGCCGAACTGCGCCGAAATCTGTACTAAGAATTAGTTTTGTTGAGTGTTCCCAGTGAAGAGGAACCCTTTTGGACTATTCAGGAATCTTTCGCGGCAGCAGCAGCTTTTACTACAGATGATACCTCCTAAAGTCTCGCGCATTGTGCAGAACCAGAATTCTTCAAGGCAGCGTCCACATCGATCGTAGGAGCGGAGACGGTTATGCCTTCCTCCTCCTCTTACATAGTTTGAGCAGGAGAGGCACGCCAATGAAAAAGCCTTGTATGCCAGACTGTCTCCGCCACTGTTCCGCCCACGTGATTAACATGGACTGTATTTTTTAGTGATGGTATTTGGTTTTGGAAAAACAAGGATATAGAAAGCGTTGAGTTGAGAGTGGGTGATATATATCACCAGTCGCGCCTCCTTCTGATACGGCCGGTTGTGCCGGGCGAGCGCGGCTTC